ACACAAACCTAATTATATCTGGAGCTCTTTTTCTAAAAGAGGTATAAGTTGAGCACCTGTGTTATATCAAATATAATTTGTAGGTTATTGTATACTATTAGAATGATTTTTTTTCACATTTTAGTCTTCCTTTTGTCATTGAAACAAACTACATCTTCTAATGTTTCAGTCCCATAAAACATCTTTTCTTATTCCTTTATTTCAGTATCTAATTTAAATTCAGCATTTGTCTATAAATATTGGCATCAAAAATATCCTCTAATTTTTTATTATTCTATATATGAAATATACTATTTATTCATGAGCTATAATGACTTTTTTTACCCATTTTCTGATCATGTCATTGTCCAGGTTAAAAATCTTAAATGACCGCTGTGTCTTCCAGCTGACCTATATGCCTTGCATGAATGAGCTCCCGTAGGTTTCTCCCTCGATGTCTCCATTCTAGCCAAGTGTGCCTTCTTTCAGTTCATTCAATGTGCCACCCTCCTTCTACTCTGAAAATAGTGAAGATTCTGCTGTTCCTTCCACTTGGAATTATCCCACTCAAACATTCCCTCCTTTACCTGACCCCATGCTATCATCTTCAAGTTTTATTTCCTTAGGGAAACTTTTCCTAATGTCTCAAAATAGGCTCGGCCAATTTTCCGTAATACGAATTTTTATAGCACCATGTAATTTCTTGCATGACACTTATCACAATTACATTTGCAAAACTATTAAATACACGATTCCATTGATAAATTTGAAACTCATGGAAAATAAGAGTTGTGTGTTTCTTAACTCAGTATTGGATCTCCAGCAACTAGTACAGTATCCAACATATCATAAGCCTTTTATATATAAGTGTGTATATATGTTTGTATGTGTACATGTATATATGCACACATGTACATATATGTTTATATAAAAAGGTTATCTTGTAATATTTAAAATTAGATCATTAGCAGTAATCAGCAGTTGTAATTTTAAGCAAAGTAATTCTTTTAAGTGGAATATAAGAAATTAATCTTTTAAAGGAATGGTTAAAGAAATTCTTCAAGACTAGATACAACCTGGTGGTGTACTAATATTTTAGGGATTTTTAAATTTGTTAAATTTCTGGATGCTGTTCCTTCTTTATGGAAAATAAGACTTTAAGAAATAAAACAGTAATAGGACAATAGTTTTGTTGTTGTTGTTATTGTTGTTGTTAGAACATTTTTATATATAGTAGCATTTTGTTTGTGAGGCTTTTAGTTTTGTTTATCAAGTATCATTAAGATCAATATGAATTTTCTCAGAACTATCCCAGTTTGGCTGTTTTGTTTTGTCTTACTTATTTTTTTTTTTTTACTTAGGCCAAAGCAGGAAAATATTTGCTAGCAATACTTTATATTTGCTATGTTTTCTCTTCTTCTATTGTGGTTTTGGGAGCTCTGGTAGCATAGTGGCTAAGGCACTTGACTGCTAACCAGAAGGCTGACGGTTCAAACCCACCAGCCACTCCTCGGAAGGAAGGTTGGGCAATCCTACTTCCGTAGTGATACTGCCTCGGAAACCCAAGGAGGGGTCGCTATGGGTCAGGGCTGACTCGAGGGCACATAACAACAACAACAAATTGTGGTTTTATGAAATAATTAAATATAGAAGGGATAGAAGGGAGAAAAAGGAATGGCTATTTTTTTTCCTCTAAATTTCATGTTGTTAGGAATATACACAGCAAATTGTATACCATTTCATCAATTTTATCATGTACAATTTCTGACTACAGTCAAGTTGGGTACAGCTCATAGTGACCCCTCCTTGGGTTTCAAAGGTGGTATACACTATGGAAGTAGATTGCCTAACCTT